GCGATGCCAGGAGCCCCTAGTAGCGTCCTTGCTCCTAGTAGCGATGCGAGGAGCCCCTATAGCGTCCTTGCTCCTAGTAGCGACGCGAGCGCCCCTAGTAGCGTCCTTGCTCCTAGCAGCGATGCCAGGAGCCCCTAGTAGCGTCCTTGCTCCGTCCTTGCCCCTAGTGGCGATGCCAGGAGCACCTAGTAGCGTTCTCTCCTAGTAGCGATGCCAGGAGCCCCTAGTAGCGTCCTAGTAGCGATGCCAGCGTCCTTGCTCCGAGTAGCGATGGCAGGAGCCCCTAGTAGCGGCCTTGCAGTAGCGATGCCAGGAGCCCCTAGTAGCGTCCTTGCTCCCAGTAGCGGAGCCCCTAGTAGCGTCCTTGCTCCTAGTAGCGATGCCTAGCATCCTGCCAGGAGCCCCCTAGGAGCGATGCCAGGAGCCCCTAGTAGCGTTCTTGCTCCTAGTAGCGATGCCAGGAGCCCTTGCTCCTAGTAGCGATGCCAGAAGCCCCTATTAGCGTCCTTGCTCCTAGTAGCGATGCCAGAGCCCCGTAGCGTCCTGGAGCTTCTTGTTCCTAGTAGTACGGCCAGGAGCTCCTAGTAGCGTCCTGGCGCCTAGTAGCTAGCGTCCTTGCAGTAGCGATGCCAGGAGCCCCTACAAGCTTCTTGTTCCTAGTAGTACGGCTAGTAGCATCCTGTCGCCTAGTAGCTAGCGTGGTAGCGCCTAGTAGCTTCTTGTTCCTGTTGAGGAGGCAGGGCCACAGATTCCTGGTTTCTTTTCCTCGTCGCTCCAGGTCGCTCTGCGGTGTCCGTGCGCTGTCGGCCACGCACGGCGCCTTCGCGGCGGTGCTGCGCAGTGGCGCGGTGGTGACCTGGGGCGATGGGAGCTGCGGGGGAGACAGCAGCGCGGTGAAGGACTGGAAGAGGTCTGGTGAGTCTGGTGATGTTGAAGGACCAGGTGAAATCCAGGTAGCGTGGTGGGTCTTTTCGGGTTTGACCTTTGTTTAGCATGGCGGTTTGTGATGGTTTCCAATTTTGTCGGCCATGGCCGCCATGGCCGAGATACCATTGGTTGGCTCCTGGAGAGGGCAAAGGTCAAAATTGCTACCCAGTGTTTGGGGGGTCCTGTAGAATTTGTGATGGCTAGCCTTCCAACTCATGTGTCCATCTCTCCACCGATGCACGGATTAGCTCAAACTGGGCTGTGCGCGGACGCCATGAAGTGAGTGAAAACAGGGACGGCTCATAACCTCTTCTGTGTCACAGGAGAGGTTTCCTTTTCAGCGGTTCCCCCGTGAACTTGGTCTTTGAGATCAGCAGCATCCAGCCGGCCCGCTACCAGTGTTCGGGACCACTCGACACTGGTAGCGGAGCCTGGCGGTCGACCTTTGGCGGTGCCGTTTGCTGCTCCATGGCCATTACTATTGACGATTGCAATCCTAAGCTGCCAAGTTGGGGAGGTGATTGGTCTTTATTTGAGGCCTACGAGCTGCGCGTGGGCTTGGAGGTTGACTCCACGAAGAAGGATGAGCTTGTCCATCTAGGACCTCGTCTGGCGAAGAATCTGTTTGGACCTGCGTTCGAATTGGTTGAAGGTATAGATCGAGAAAAGCTTCGAAAAGAAGATGGACCTTCCTGTTTGTTGAAGCATCTCAAAGAGTTGAGGGGCAGGGACCGCGTGGACATTATGGGTGATGCTCTACGAGACCTGTTCCTGAAGACAGAGGTGCAGAGGAAGGAGGGTGAAGAGTTTTCCACCTATCTGCCAAGATTCAAACACTACATCAAAGCGGTCGACATGGCCCTGAAAGATGTAAATCCTGACAAGAAAATGCCAGAAGAGTTTTACGGATGGTACCTCCTGACCATTTGCATGAGGCTGGACCCAGCTGATGTTGCAAATATCAAGGCTAAGGCTGAAAGCTACAGTCTTCGACATGTGGAGAATGCCATCAAGATGATGTGGTCTGGAGGAGGACTCGCTCTTCGAGACCAGGAAAGAAAGAAGTTCAAGAGTCTCGGGAAAGCTTATGTGGCCCATGAACCATCATCCACAGGCCAGGGTGATGACTCCGAGGAGTATGAGCCTGTGTTTGCTAGCGCGGCGCCCGATGCGCCCGATGACGATACAGAACAATATGAGGAGATAGCAGCTGCCTTTTTGGAAGCTCCGGAAGATGAAGATTTGCTGATTGCCTTTCAAGAAGCAAAGAAGAAAATCCAATACAAGGAAGCTCGCAAAATGTTGACAAAGAGCCGAACCAATCGTGATTTCTATCCCTTGTCGTCCTCATCATCCTCGAGCCGACAGACCAAGGGCTTGGGAAAAGGGAAGGGCAGTAAGACATCCAATGCCAAGGAGGAAGTGTTCAATGGTGACTGCGTGCGATGTGGAAAATACGGTCATAAAGCTCGAAACTGTCCACAGAAGACTAAGGCTGGAACCAACTATGTGGGAACAAGCGATGATCTCATTGGGGAGGTTCATCTGCCTGCGGATTTGCTGTCAATTTTCGCAACAACTCCTGCAAGAGCTCTACTCGGAATTTGACCGGCTTGGCTTGACCCCAGACATGAGATTCAAGTGAATCGCGCACTGCAGAAATCGTTTGCGTGTGGAAACAGTGAAGTGGGCCAAGCACTGGGTGTTGCTCAGCTTACTGGGACAGGAGGTGCAGATTGAAGCCCACATTGTTGAGGGTCAGACGCCGTTGCTCCTTTCCGCAAAGTTTCTCATGGAACACAAGGTGACAATTGATCATGAAGCGGCGTTGGCTTGGTTTCCAAACATTGGAAGCGAACCAATTCAATTGGAAAGGACACCAAGTTACCACTTGTTGCTGCCCATCCTCGGGTTTCCTGGGAACAAGGTCATCCTCGATCGTTGGGTGAAGTCACCAGAGACAAAGTCTCTGGCTAGTGAGGCTGAACCTGAATGCGCGCAGCCCAGTGAATAGGGACAGCTCCACCTGAATCCAAATGGTAGGCTGGACAGGATTCAGAGTGGTCAGGTAGAAGACCAGCCAAAGCCAATTCTTTTTAATACTGATTCTTCAGTGTCTGATGGTGTTCTTTGTGTGAAGAGTACTCATGATGTTCAGGAGCTGTCTGAGGTTCAGCTGAAAACCCACCAACGACAACGCATTCAGGATGGGATTATGTCCATGCATGAGGCCACGATGGAAGCTATTGATCATGTGAGGGGTTGCAAACTTGATCTTGTTGAGATCTGTTCTCCTTGGGATTCACCCTTGGGTGCTTGTTGTGAAAAGCTTGGAGGGAGAGTCGCTAGGTTGGGGATTCATAATGGTTATGCGTTAGCGCTCGGAGTGGACTCAATCGTGCCGTGGACTTTTTGCGAAAACATCGTCCTCGTGTTTGCCACCTGTCACCGCCTTGTTTTCCCTGGAGTCCTTTTCAGAACTTGAATCAAAACACTGTTGAACAACGAGAGGCCCTTGAGACCAAACGAAACATAGGTAGGAAGATCTTCAAAAATCTGTGGACTCTTGCTTGCATTCAGGTTGACGAACTCCAAGGCGATGTCACAGGTGAACAACCGTGGAACGCTACAAGTTGGCAGGAACGATCCTGGCAAAAACTTGCCAAGAAGTGTGGGGGTCGATTTCGCGTCGATGGATGTGCATTTGACATGCGAAACACTGACAATGGTATGTTGTTCCAAAAGAAATGGGGTTTCTTTTCGACTCATGTTGGTATCGCTAAGAAAATCAACAAGACTTGCAATCGCGACGCGAAGACACACACTCACATACATGGTAAGTACACGGCGTTAACGGCCATATATCCCAAGCGCTTGTGTTTGACCTTTGCTCTGGCCCTTATGTCCCGGAAGGTTGAGCTTCAGAATTACTTCAGTGACTTTTGCTTCCACACCGGAAACGAAGCTGAACTTGAGGACGCAGAAGAATATACCCTTTCCGAAGGACCGGCAATCGAAGAGCAAGGACCAGCCAGCGCCGAACCTGAAGTCGCACCAAGGTCTGAACCTGCAGCCGAGGACCAAGTTGCAGAACCATCCAACCCTGAAATGTCCGAAGATGATCTCAACACGTTGAGAAAGATTCGAATCATTCATAGGAATCTTGGTCATCCTAGTCAAAACGTGTTACTTCGCATGCTTAGAACGGCACAGGTTCCTGAAAGAGTCTTGGAGATTGCTAAACGCTTCGAATGTGATGCTTGCAAGACCCAACGACATAGCATTCCCAAGTTACCTGCTTGCCCACCAGTCGTGACGGAAAAATGGAATACGGTTTCTGTTGATACCTTTTGGTGGACCAATCCCACAAAGACCCTTGAGGACCGGGATAGGTGTGTTGTTGGGATCAGTTTTATGGATGAGGCCACGGATCTTCACGTCGCGTCGATCGTGAAAGAACACAACAACACTCCTACCAATACTTCCGGTGATGATTTCATCCACCAGTTTTGTCAGGCTTGGTTGAGGTGTTTACCCAAACCCCAAAGATTGAGATGTGACGTTGAAAAATGTTTTGAGGGTGACAAAGTCGTGACTTGGCTTGAGGAGAGTGCTATTAAACTTGACATGTTCCCAGGTGAATCTCCATGGCAGCTAGGAAAACATTCACGACACCTTCACACCCTCAAACAACAGATGAGCAAGCTGGCTTTTGAGCTTGGGCCTGGCGTGAAGAACGAGGAGATCCTTTCACTGTGTTTGTCCGCCAAGAATGAAGTCCATAACTATCGAGGATATTCACCCAACCAGTGGGCTTTTGGACAAAACTCTGAAAGAGTCTTTTCCTTTTTGGACATGTATCATAACCTTCCGAGCATGAACGAAAGCCATCCTTCTTTTGAAGAAAATATAGAAAAGATGGCAAAAGCGAGAGGTTTTCATTCAGTGCGACAGCGCGAAGCGCCTCAAGCGTGCTGCTCTTCATCAGAGCAGACGAACCCAAGTCTTTGAAGTTGGGACCCTGGTCTTCTACTACCGAAAAGGTAGAGGGAAAGGTGAGAGACCGCGAGGTCAATTGTATGGACCAGGACGTGTCGTGTGTGTTGAAAAGACCACGGAAACGGAGAGAGGGAGAGAGGGGTCTATTGTTTGGATCACTCATGGAACACGTTTGCTTCGTTGTGCACCAGAACAACTTCAAAGGGTTTCGCGAGATCTAAGTAACATTGTTTTTTGGCAAATAGAGGCCATTCCACTTCGACGACTGCAGGCTCCTTTCGTGATCAAACATCCGCTCGCATGGTAGCGGAGCAGGGATCAGGATTTGCGTTGCATCTCCTGTGAGCTCCGGCGGCGGATCCAGGGACGGGACCCACATCCCTTCGCGCCCCTTGTCCTAGCTGCGACCGTGCCTGTTCATAGAACTAGTGTGGCAGGTTGCTCGCCCTCGGTGCGTGAGGCTATTTGAACCTGGAGATCAAAGCACCTTGAGGTACCCCTTTGCCCACATCTTTGGGTATAACAGGTTGACTGAGGATCACCTGACGGCCCTATCTCATCTTCTCTGAGGACGCCCTTGGAGAGGAGAAAGGTGACAAATGGATGGCTCTGATCCTGGTTTGGCTGGAGGAGCGGGGGTCGAGTTGACCCAGGCGTTGATCCAGGCTGCGCAATCGGCCACCCAAGCTGCGCAAGCGGCTGCAAGTGTGAATGCAGCCCAAGCCCAAGGAGGAGGAGAAGGTTCATCGTCAGGAAGCTCGAAACGAGACTTGGCAAAGCTCATACCCCGTCCGAACAGCTTCAGTCCCATCGACAGGGAACAGGAGGTGTTGCAATGGAGGGACTGGTTCTGGGGATTCAAACAGTACCTCCTGGTGGTGGATGGATCCTACCAGGAGGAAGTTGACAGGATCGAGAACAACCTCAACGTCGAGGTGGACTGGGACTTGCTTTCAGAACCTGAGCAACAACG